TTATGTTTTTAAAAAGTACAAATCCAACATCAAATAATTATTAATGACAAAACTCAAACGTCAGATATATTTAAAAGAATACATTTCTATAATTATTTTGCTTAATTTATATTTAATTATAAGATTTATACAAATTATTTACTTACTTTATATTTAATTGTAATTTTTATATCTTAATTTTAAATTTTATAATAGAAAAATATATTTTCAAGATAATAATATAATGCATAAGTTATTTATTTTCTAAAAATATAATATGATAAAATTAATTATATAAGATTATCTAAATTATGATATATAATTAAAATTACCTAAAATCACGGAGAACTTAATGAATCAGCAAAATCACTTCTTAAATATATTTTCAAGAGAACAACTTAATACATAAGAAATATCTTATTTTTTAAGAATCCGATACTATTAATATAATTTTTTTTAATAATAGTATAGATAAATTATATATAAAATTATAGAAATTATGATAAATTATCAAAATTACTTAAAATCATGAAAAATGACAAATCAGCAAACATCAAATTCACTTCTTAAATAATAGTATAGATTTATTACATGTTAATTTTAAAATTTATAATAGAAAATATATTTTCAAGATAACAACATAATACATAAGAATTAACTTATTTTCTAAAATATAAATTTAATTATTAATAATATAATTTTTATATCTTAATTTTAAGTTTTATAATAGGAAAATATATTTTCAACATAACAACATAATGCATAAAATTATCTTTTTAAGTTTTATATATAAAAATATATTTTTAGTTGATAAGATAATTATTAAAATATATTTCTAGATAACAACATAATTCACAAGAATTATCTTATTTTTATAAAATATGATATATTCATATCAATTCGTTTTATTTATAAATAAATTATATATAATAATATAAATATAATAAATAAACAAAATCACCTAAATTTATGAAGAACATGACAACTAAGCAAATTTACTTCTTAAATAATAGTATAGATATAATAATATAAATATAATAAATAAACAAAATCACCTAAATTTATGAAGAACATGACAACTAAGCAAATTTACTTCTTAAATAATAGTATAGATATATTCAAAATCAGAGTGTTATTAATCAATTCGGACTGATACTCCAAAAAAATGGAAATCCAAAAAAAAAAATACAAAGCAAATCCTTTTCTAAAAACAAAATTGAATTTGTAATCGAAATAAGCATTCAAAAACATACTTGTGGAATTGACTATTCATCTATTTGACGATTTGTCTGTTGATGACGTAGGTTTTGCCTTTTTTTTCTAAATGACGTTGTCCTTCCCGTGGTTGTAAGTTTGTGATTCAAGCTTCAATGTTCTTCGTCTGAGTCTCAGGGCTAAACACGAATATTTGATACTCGACTTATACTTGATATTTAATTTGGTTTGATTTTAAAAAATAAATATTTACTTCAATCAAGTCGAATAACAAGTGAACAAATTTTATTATTTATAAATACAAATTAAGTATTAAATTCATTTTAACTTTTAATTACTTAATTTATTACTTAGTTTATTATTTGTTATTCTTTACTTGTTTCTTGTCATATATTACTTAATTTATTAAATACTTAGTATATATATTCATTAAAATTTATGTAATTTATGAATAGCCACAATTACTTCTTACATGTCTCATGTTTACTACTTAGTTGGTACACGATCCTTAAAGTTTAATATTTGTTTTGACTAAGGCGTGTATCAAGTAGTTTATTTAAATTGTCTTCAAATACAAAATAATAAACTAAAACTAATTATTCAGTGTTCCTTGGTTTATTATTCATTTTTGTTAGTGAACAAAGATACATTTTCCTAAATCATAGTAACACAACTCGCTTATATTTCAATTTTTAAAGTGAATCAAAAGTAAATGATATATTTATATAAACATTATGGAATTTTTTCTTTCTTAATATAATATATTTCAAGAATGACTAAAAATCAGAAAAAAATAATGACAAAATGAAAACAATGACATATTATTTATATATAATAGTTTATTTACTTTAAATTTAAATTAATTATCAAATAATTTACTAATAGTTATCAAGTAATTTGTAAAAAAATTACAAATAACAAGTAATAAAAAAAGACAAGTAACTTGCAAGTTCATCAATTTTTCGCAAGTACTTGAAACTGCAAATACTCGTTTTTAACAAACTAAGTACAAGTCCAAAATTTAAATACTAAATATACCGAAAATATCAAATCACCCCTACTTTATCTGTTACGTACTATGTTTAGCTTGCTTTCTTATGTCACATTTGTATACATGTTTTTTAGTCAGAATTCTGAACACTAATGATAACATAGTACTAAGTATTAATAATATTATACATTAACACGCGGTATCATATGGTAGTCATTCTGGGTGCTGGATCCTACTCGTAGAGGAAGTTGGATATGGAGAGCTATTTGTAAGTTGAGAGATGTGGCAAGGCCGATGGTGTGGTGTGAAGTTGGCTCTGGTATTACTGCAAGCTTCTGGCACGATAATTGGACTTCAGCTGGTCCTCTTATTGAGTTAGTAGGGGAGAGAGGTCCGTTGGTGACGGGTTTGTCTATCGATGCAGTGGTGGCGGATGCTTTATCTAGCGAGGGTTGGTGGTTGGATCGTAGTCGAAGTAGAAGCCCCATTATTTCGCTAGTGAAAGCATGTTTGCCTAATGCTAGGGAGATTTTGGATTCTGAGGTGGATGATAGATATGTTTGGTATCCGGAAATTGGGAGAGGTTCTGGGTGTTTTTCGGCAAGTGATACTTGGAGTGTTCTTCACCCTTACCCGACTCGTGTTCCTTGGCATAAGGCGGTTTGGTTCTCCGGCAGAATACCAAAACATGCTTTCATTACTTGGATTGCAGCCAGGGACCGAATGGTTACAAGGGACAGGATGATTAGATGGGGTTTGATTGTTCCCTCTTTGTGTGTTCTTTGCTTAGGAGGTGAGGAGAACCGGCAGCATTTATTTTTTGATTGCTCCTATAGTAATCAAGTCTGGTCTTACTTTGTCTCGCGGTTGAATCTGGCTCCGCCAAGGGGGTTTGAGGAGGTGTTGCTTTGGCTGAATGCCCCCTCGCGTGATAAGAATATCACTTTGATTATTCGCCTTATTCATCAAGCTGTCTTGTATCTGATTTGGAAAGAGAGGAACAAGCGGATTCATAGTATTATGGAGAAGCCTGTTGGTTCTCTTATAGCAGAGGCTCAGCAGGTTTTAAGGCTCAGGTTGGACCCCCTCGCCAGAAGACAGATTACTCTTCCTGACCAACCTTCTGTTCTTGCAGTTTGGTTGTCTAATTTTGTTGTGTGAAGTTTTGTTTGCAGAAGATTTTTTGTTAGGTGTTGGAAGTTGCAGGATTGTTAGTTGGTAGGGTCTTTGGGCTGTTTTCGAGTTGTATTGGGCTTGTTTATAAATAAAAGGAAAGTTAAATTAAAAAAAAAAAAAAAACTAGTTTTTGATCCACAAAAGGGGAAAAAAAATTGATGAACAAGGTAAGGGTTTTACAAAATAACAATTAAATTAACATTTGGCATATACGTCTGCCCATTTTCATGTAAAAAAAAACTATCATCCTCTTTAAGGAAACTCTACAAAAGAAAAAAGTAAAACAGTTTGCAAAAGTATAATACTTTTTTGATAATTTTTTAAAGTATTACTATATTTTAAAAAGAAAGTTAATTAGATCGATTATTTTGTCGACTTTATTTTAGGGAGAAAGTTTATTCACTAGTCACCACCACACGTAGTCCAACACTTTATTAAAAGTTTAGAATATATTGGGAACTTGACTCATCGTGCACAATGGTATTGGGAAGAAAACAAAGAGATACGTAAAAGATTGGGCTGCAAGTAAGTTGACAAGTCTCTGCTTTTGTCAGTCAATGACTACTAGTCTTTGTCTCACAATATCATCTCTGTAATACTCTTTATTAATAATGACATTATCATATGGTCAGTGTCAGTGATCAGAGATACCACGAAGTCCATTGCCTAATCATGCCGCGGCTTATGAGCCTTTTATTCCACCACGAGTTGGAGCCATGTGGATATGTTCATAATCATATAGCCACTGAGCCGTAAATACTTTGTTCTTTTCTTTTAACGAGTCTTTGTCCAAACTTTTCCTTTTGCAACTTGCATGGAAAGTCTTACGTTACCCTTAAAATAAAATGTTGTTTAGCTTTTGTTTTGTTTCATTATTATGGAATCTTTTTCATACTAATTAACAGCTTCTGTTGAATTTGGAATCTGAACTCGTTTGGTACTTTGCCAGAAGCTTTGGAACAGAAGACAACTTGGCATTTTTTTTATTTATGTAGGTCAAGAAGAGATGATCCTATCATGAAGCAAGCAGCTAACTAAACCAGAATAATCATTCCATTTTCTGAGATTAGTATGATAATTATATAGCAGGATGATAATATTCTCCTAGTTAAATATATAGGCTATGCATAATGCCAAATTAGCAAGGCGTGGTAAACTCCATTAAGTTTGCGCACAAATTCACATTATTTGTACATTTTTCTTGTTTCTTTTCATACTTACATTCAAACAAAGATCCCAATTAAATACAAAAGAAAATAAATATTGAAAATTAATCATAAGAGTGACAATCAAAAACACTTCGTAAGCAGTAAACACACAAAATATCCATTTAAACCTGCTTACGTACGGTTTTGTTAATCAACTAAGAACAAGGATATGACTAAAAAAGATTCCAACTTTGCTAGGACCAGAGAATATTCATTACATAGACTCTCAAAAAGATGATAATACAGGGTTTACCAATTCTAAGCAATGCAGTTGATGCGAAACAGTCTTGCAATTGCTCATCACCTGTAAGAAGAAAAAAAAATATAAGGTTAAGAACAAGTAACTAGACGAATTAGTCTATAATCTATATTCAGAACATGAAGATGAAAGAGCTTTCTTTTTCTTACCATTCTCCTTACGGCTTGGTTCTTCAGAGCTTGACCTCGACATCAACACCAGCAGGAAGATCAAGTTGCATCAAGGAATCAATGGTTTGAGCAGTGGGGTAGAGAATATCAATCATCCGCTGGTGCGTCCTGATCTCAAAATGGAACCTTGCATCCTTGTGAACGTGGGGAGACTTGAGAACACAGTAGATACGCTTCTTGGTAGGTAATGGAACAGGACCCATGGTCTTTGCATTAGTGTTTCTCGCAGCGTCAAGTATCTGCTTGCATGAGTCCTCAATAAGAGGTACCCAGTATGATCTTAGCTTGATCCTAATCTTTTGCTTTGGCGCCATCTGCTTACAAATAAAACGGATAGAACCAAACACACAAATCTTAGAGCATCCACATTAATGAACCCCCTCTTGGGATTCATTGAATTATTTTTTTATTATTAAAAAATTTATGTTTTCTTTTTGATTTTTATTTTTTTTTTAAAAACAAAAAAAAATCTAGACCAATCACAAGTCGCCACGTGTTGAACCTCAGGAGAGAGGGGTTCACCGGGATGAACTTTAGGAGAAAGAGGTTCATAGGTTTTTGTTATTTTTTTTTTTTTTTTTTTTTGATTTCCATGTGAACTCTCCCCATGAACCTTCAATGGGGTGCTCTTAGTCTTGCAAGAGTAAACAACATGAGTATCATCTAAAAATGATTACTTTCATGTAGTGACAGCTCTTAACTGAAGCGGAACATACAAACAAATGTAAAATAAAAGCCCATTATACATGTCTGCATTGTCTCTTTGCAAACAATCAAGAAAGCGAGAAAAAGAGACATATAGAGAGAGAGAGGGGAGAAAGTGTATACCTCGGAGACGGGTTCATCGAGAGTTTCTGGAGTCAGGGTTTCTGGAGCTGCGAAGATCTTCTTCTTAAACGAGAAGGAGGGTTTGTTAAGGAGGGAGGAGTCATGAGTTGAAGAAGATGGGAGCAATGGAAGCAGAGAGACTTTCTGTTTGGTAGAAGAGGAAGAGGTGGGATTGGAGAAAGAGGGTAATATGAATGAAGTTACAGAAGAAACTGCCATTGAATAATATCAAAATAAGAGGATTGATTCTTCTTCTTCCTCCTCGTAACGCTGCAAGGATGTATGTTTTCGAGAGTTATCCATAATCGAGAACTATTTTTGTTGATGGATCTTTGAAGCCCATTTCATTTAATAAAAGGACAACTCTAATAAAATGACAATATGGCCCGATATAAAAATCTACTCTAATCAATCTACTCACAATTCAGTTTCTCTGTTATAATCTGTGCACAAATGTTTTTTCATTGTGAACACATGAACAGCATTTATCTTTTAAAGTTTAATTTAACATTACATTCGACAAAAAAAAAATTTACATGCAAAAGTCAAAACAATGTTGGTGTTGAAATATAAGTCATATAAGCAATGTTTGAGAGATTGATGAAAGGTAATTAGGCATTTTATATTATATATGAATATTAACTTTTGGGCATCGTTTAAACCGATTTTTTAAAAATCTTTTCGATTAAAATCGATAGTAAAATGCATGCAAGCACAGTGTTTTGTTTGGTTTTTACAGTTTACACACTAATTAAGTATCCCATAAACACATTACATATTAGGTGAACTTAGGGCTGCGCATAAAATCCGTAATCCGAAATCCGAACCGAACCCAAACTAAAAATCTGATCCGATATATATAAAAAATCTGAATAGGTTGTTCGGTGGTACAAAACATATCCGAACCTAAAGTGTTATTAATCGAACCCAAACAGATAACCCAAAAAACCCGAACACTCGAAAAATCCAAAAAAATATCTAAATAAACCGATCCGGATATCTAAATTAATATACAATATAAATATATATAACATAAATATATACTTAAAATATTAATTTTCCTATTATATTTTAATATGATATCTAACAATAAATATTTTAAATAAGTACCTTAAATTCTTAATTACATATGAATAAGTATATATTTTTCATGTTTTGCTTTTAAATTTTGGATTTGACTTCGGGTATATCCGTACCGATCCGATATAACTCGAATCAGAACGATATATGATTATTTTATGGGATCTAGGATGTGATACAAAACTGACTCGAAACCGATGTATTATATCCGAACCCGACCCGTATCTGTAAATTTACTAAAATAGAATCTAGGAGGTGTTATAAATTAGAACCGAAATCCAAAAAAGCAGACTCGAACGCCAACGGATACCCGAACGCCAGGCCTAGGTGAACTGAACTTGAACCAGATTTAAAACAAGCATGTATTACATATTATGTTCCTTTAGTCTTTTGGACTTATGTTAACATGATTTTTTTGGTTTAGTATAGTTTTATCGGCTTCACGGGCACTTTTGCATACATAGGTCCATTTTTTCCTCAATCATTTCGTATCACACGGTTATGTTTTAGTTAGTCAAGTAGAAGGACAATGACATATTCTGAAAATTATTGTCCAGACGATCTCAGTCAGTATCGAAACTTGAAAGACCAATCATGCTTTGAAGCCGCTTGGCCCGCTTCTATTCCATATCTATGTCAAAACTAAAATATATGGAACACAAAGACATAAATAATTATTCTATCAGCATTACATAAATATCACATGAATGTAAATCCGTATTGTATATTGCATGTCGTTATTTGTTAGTAACAATAAGAACGTCTAAACTATATCATAACGGTGGCTTCACCTCTTTCTTAGAACCCGAACATTGTAAATAGTTTTTACTAACGAAAATTGAATCCTGAATGGTAGAGTGCCTATTAAACACTTATTTACCACTAGGCCAACATAACATTTTACCAAAAAAAACCTATATCATAGCATATATATAAAGAAGTGGCAAGCTTTAGAACATTCATAAGAAGGTAATTACCATGAAATCAAACCACTAATATGCCAAAAAATCAAAATAAAACGCAAATTATTTTTGATCAAACATGATTGAAGATCACGTGTGGCAAACAAATTTTGAATTGATAATCAACATCGGTTCGAATATACATCATTACATTTCATCGTATGGTCATGTAGATATGAACTCATCGTTTACATATTATTTAAACACTTAAAAGGAAGATTTATCTACGGGTTATATTTCCATTTAGAGATTAGTATGAGTCCTTCTATTGGTTCGGAATACTTTAAAGTTAAAAAAAAAACATGATTGACACAAACACCCTTAGGACGTGGCATGCAGACTCAGAAAAAGGGGCAATTGGGTAAAATCATTCAGATTCCCATTGCACAACTGTACCAATAAAACCTCTATATATACCAAAGCCGTTGAGTGTAAGCCTTAGCACAATCACTCTTAAGTCTCAAAGCTGAACATCTTATTTCTTCATCGCTCACTCACAAAAGCAAAGGAAAAAAAAAACAGAGTGATGGATCAAATAAAACAAGAGTTTCTGAAGAAACTTACCAAGTTCTTAGTATTTTCGATATGGGTTTCATCTCTTTTAATCACTCACAACTTCTATCTATTCAGATTCACAATTCAACTCGTAACACACGCGGTGGATAAGAACTACATGTTCCTCCTCTGCAATGGTCTCTTAGTGCTTGTCGTTAAGTGCATCTCTACGTCAAAACCACTAGATGATGGTCGGAGTAAGACCAATAAAACCTTTGATTACAGAGATTTCGAGAGTTATGATGCCATATTGGAGCTAGAGTATCACTATATTCATGAAAGAGAATCAGAGTCTTTTCTTGCAGATGAAATTAGTACAAAAGATCAAGAAACTAAAGAAGAGAAGGAAGAGAAAGAAACCAAAGAAGATCAAGAAACCGAAGAAGAAAAAGAAGAGTACGACGAGCCGTTAACAGATAATGGTGATCTAGAAGAGGAGGAGGAGGATAATGTGGGAGTGGTGACGGAGGAAGAGATGAACAAGAAGTTCGATGAGTTCATTAGAAAGATGAAGGAAGAGCTTAGAATCGAAGCTAAACGGCAATTGATTGCTGTTTGATTTCTAGTTAAGTTAGTTATGTTATGTATAAGTTTAAGCGCATGCAATAAGGTCATATAGAGCGAGTTTTCTACACTCTTCTTCATGTCACTTGTACTCGGACCATCTCTTTTTATATGGAATATTTCTTATATACAACTCGCGTTACACTTTTTTTTTATAAAAAAGATGTTTAGTGGTAGACACGAAAACGTCCCTTGTAGATATTTGGTGTATTTGAATCACATAACTGTTCAAAACAATGTCTAATCGAGTAAAACAACATTAAATGTTTTGAAACTACACATAAAATCACCTCTATTTTAAAAAAGCATGCAATAATAATATTTGTGAGAATATCAATGAATGGTATTACTCTTTAAAGAAGCTCACCATCAGAGAAATGCATGCAATGCAACTAAAGAACAAATTAGTACGTATAATTATCATGATCAACGTATGACTATATGCACACATAAATAGTCCATACACGTATCATATCGATCTCCATTATTAGTTCTATATCATAGACTGTGTACTATATATTATTAGCTATGTGTTGTCTGCACCCGATGGTATCCGGAATAATGCTGCAACGCACACGTGTATTTATGCATATAATGAATTTCCAACTAAAAAGTATGATATATTTGATAGGTTAAATCATTTCTGATTTCGTGGACGTTGATTTTTAAGAAAAAGTTAAAATGTTTGATTTTCTTGATCTTAGAACTATTGCATCGATTGACATGAACATAAATTACAATGTTTATGAAAACATCTGGTGAGCCTGATGTGAATCTGTAAAGTGTAAACTATGGGAACACATGGATCTGATAAAAATAAAATGTATCATTATTACTAGGTTTTTCTTAATATGGTAGTAACGAACCTAAAATCATAATCTTAATTAGAGGTTTTAGACTCATTTTACAGTTTACTTATCAATAATAATTTTACGTCAACATGTTCAAAATCGTGTTACAGAGTGTGCATATAATCACATGATCCATCTATCCATATGCAAATAGTGGACACTTATCAACGAATAATCGAATCTAAATAAAAAAGTGAACATAGTTTTGCTTTGAAGACTCAATGGATTCTCTCCTCTTCGCTTTATTTTGGACTTCCATATTTTTTTTTTTCAATTTCCCACTATCATACCCATCCACACTCTCAAAGATAATAATTAATTTTCGTATTTTCAAAATGGTGTTACATTGAATCTTTGTTTGGAATCTTCTAGTCATTACATTTTCACCTTTTCCCAAAACGATTTAACAATATTAGCAACACGTTATATTTTATGTGATAATAGATTTTGTCTCCTAGTGGTCTCGAGAGGTTAGTATCAAAAGAATATGATTTAATTAATCTCAATTGATCAAACCCATTACTCAAAAAGATAACATCAGATAGAAGATTTAGTAATGTTAGTACGTTACATGTTTCAATAAATAAGGATGTGATAGTTGAAGTGTGTATGGATAATGAATATTATTAGGTATTCAATCCATATTATACTATATGAATACAATATAAATACTATAAATTTTATTTTGGTTATAATAATTAATTAAGCTTAAGAAAAGACCGAGAGCGGAAGATCTATCGAATAATAATAGACTATACGATCTTGACACAACCTAACATGTCTACTCGTGTTCATACGTGTATGATAAAGAAAATGAGACGACTATATAAACGGGTCAATTTATCTCAACTAACATGTTGATATTAGGCTGTGATTACAACATGTTTGTAAGTATTCCAAACACACGACTTTGTGCATCTGAGTTTGTATGATTGCATAATTCCTAACAAGGGATGAATAAGAGTGTATCAATCAATCATGGAGCTATTTAGACATACCAAAATCCAAATTTGAAAATAAAGTAAAACTGAAAGAAGCCATGGAGAAGAACAGTAAACTCAATCAGTAGATAACGAAACCAAACAAAAGAAAAGCATCAAGTTGTAGTATAAACAACCAGGCTCTTAGGTTTAAGTGGGTCCAATTAATATTGAGAGAAAAATTGATCAAAATCAACAAATACAATTATATGCTCAATAATGCTCAAACAGCTAAATCCAAAAGACCATTATAATATTTGTAAAATGCCGGGAAAAATATATTGGTAAAAGATGTCACAAGACTCGTAAACGTGTAAGACAATTCAGTATTTTTGGGAAAGATCATGCATTCAGATGCCATTGTTTGAGTTTATATGGAATGATGGAAGACAAAAGCAAATTGATGCATGTTTTCAAGTATGTAAAAGGAAGCTATGTTGCATAGCTCAACTTTTGTCTTATTTTTTTAACTGAAAATTATAAAACAAAAAGTTTTGGTGAAAGGGTTTAATGGAGGTTGTGAAGTTGGACAACCACACAAAGCAAATTATGAGTGAATGAGAGGTCTATTTTAGGGTAAGAGTAATTAGCAGTTTGTTTCTTGAGGCATGTGGGTGCTGTGAACTGGAAGGATGATGAACCCAACATTCCATATGCTCATGACTAATCTTGGAACTAATTACCAACGAATAGTTCGTCTAGTGGATATAACTATTGGATCACCTACAGTGGCAGGGCTAGATCTAGGTATGTTGGGGGGTCATAATTCATTTATTATAGATAAAACATGCTTCAATGAGTTTTGAACCAATGACATGTGGGTCAAAATGAAAGTTTTAACCAATTTACCAAAATAATAATATTGAATTAATTTGTCTGCTTTTTCAATGAGAGTCAATTTAATATGGTTTGGGCATAAGGAGCAGCACCCACAGTTTTTAACCAATTCACCAAAATAATAACATTGAAAAAGCAGACAATTTTATCGGTTAAGCCATACCAAAAGCTTTGTATCATATCTTGGGGCATTGTGGGTGCTCCTACGAGACTATGGTATGTTGTCGGGATCGGAAAAGTTAATTGTGTACCATCTAACTAGGCAACTTTTGATTTTAAAATCCACAGGCGTGGCACATACACGACACAAGCTCAAAAGAACATCTAGTGAACTGTGTGAAATGACCATAAATTATCTCCACCAAAGAGGACGAGATTAGAATTATACTATGCATGTTCATCTTAATAATAGAAACTCGAAACACCTAAACTAAAAATTGGTAAAAATTACAAGAGACACGACACCAATATAACTTTGTTGCCTTGCAAGTGAAGTCAACTAGACAGGACCACCATTATAACGCCTTCGTTATGGAAGTTGCTTGCCAATAGACAATCTTGAAGTACTATTACTCAATTTCAAAGAAGGCACAAGAGCACAAAACATCAAATAGTCCAGTTATCCAAGTGCCAACAACAATACACTTCAGAGAGAAAAACATAGACTAGAAACTTGTTGATAAGCTAGCAAATGAACTACTACTTTACTCTTCAGAAGATAGACGTAGCTTGAAATGTAAATAATCATTCTTCTTAGCGAGTTCAACAATCTCCTCAGCTTCTTCTTGCTTTGACCCTTTCACCAATACATCAACCACCTCTTGCATGATGACACCATCAACAAGTAGACGCTTAGCAAATATCTCTTTACAAAGCTCAAAAGCTGACTCCAAATCGCCAGCCTTACACATTGCAGGAAGCAAAGACGAAAAAATCAATTTCATCGGTCGAAAACCGCTCTTCTCTAACTCCCTGTACCACATCTTAGCTTCATCTACTTTCCCTTCACCTGCACATCCTCTAACCATAGCAGTGAACGTAAACACATCAGGCTTAATCCCATTAACCTTAAGCTCCTCAAACAGACCAACCATCTCTTCTGACTTCATCTCCAAAGCTAATCCTAACAACCGAGCATTATAACTACGTATATCTCTCCCAACATTCTTCTCCACCATCCTACTCCATATCTCTTCCCCCAGCTCAAAATTCCCCTTTGTATAAGACTCATGCAACAGTAAATTGTAGCTGAAATGATCAGGCTTCAGACCCTTCTTCTCAATCTCATCAATCAACGCAACAGCTTCAGACAAAGAACCCTTCCCACACAACCCCTTGATCAAAGTATTGTAAGAAGCAATATCCGGTTCTGGCAACTCCTTGAATATCCCTTCCACCAACTCAAACCTCTTTGAGTTCACACAAGCGTTCAACAAGGCGTTGAAGGACAAAACCGTTCTCTTGCATTTTCTCTGAGGCATTTCGTCGAACACTTTCCGTGCATTCTCGAACATACCTGCACGGCCGTAAAGGTTGATGATTCTCGCGACGAAGCCTTCTTTGGACATGTTTGGGTACTTGTTCTGCTCCTCGAGGATCTCCTGGATCCATTCGAATTTCTTGGCGGCGGCGAGGCGGCGGACGGTGCGTTCGTAGACGGGTTTGTTTTTGCGGAACCATTCGGTTTGGGAAGCCTTTTTGAACTTCTCTGTGATGTATTTTGGGTCTTGTTCGTCGTTTACGAGGGTGATGAGGGATTGTGTTCGTTGCGAGGTTGCGGGTGTGGTGACGGCGGAGAAGAAACGGATGTTCGTGGTGGTGGTGTTACGGAGGAGAAGGCGAGAGAGGAACGACATCGTTTTGAGATTTAGGTTTTGCAAAACAGTAGAGAGTAAATGAAAACTATATATGGCTGACAAAAAAACAAATGACACTATGTAACTTTGAACTACTATTTTTTTTTTCTTTTTTGAAACACACTTTGAACTATTGCTTAAAAATTCAAAAACAAATGAAACTACATAACTTTGACATTTCTCTTCCAAAGAAAATTCTTACAGTGGTATGTATAGATTTATTTACTTCTGTCTTTCTTTTTTTTTTTTTCTATGATTTTGTTAAGCTTTTTTATTACTTCTTTCTTCTTATCAATGCATATTATGTTTGTCATTAGATGATAGAGACCGCAGGAGAGGAAGTCAGCTATTACTGGAAGGTTAGAGAATGTACTTTTCTTTAATTTGATTCAGTTATGATTATTGCTTAACGTCGCAGAATGTAATATAGTGAGATCATATGTCTTCTAAAAGGGATCATGAAGATCGGATTGTTCCTTGCAGTGTAGATGCTGATGTTGATATCAAAAGTGATGATGATAGGACCTATTCTTGTGTTCTTCTTTTGCAGTTCTTTATTTCTTATGCTTTAAATTTGGCCAAGAATCAAGGTTGTGGTTGGTAACTACGCATAGCTGTATAAGTCATTGTTTTCATCTGGGGCATATATAGCTGTATGATGAATGGACTAAATAAAGCTTTCATATTCTGTCTCTTGTACCAAAAAAACAGAAGCCAATCACTATAGTATTGTGTTGTTATGGCTTATAATTGAAAGCTTATGCGCATTTGCAAAAAAGATTCCTACTAAGTCTTACTCATCACTGACACCATGGCACTTGCAAGTTGCAAACTGGATTTAGACTGACGGATCCGTCTTTGACGTCTGTATATATATTTCCTCTAATTTCTCTTTAAGTATTTATAGATTAATATGAATTGCTTTCTAACAACAAAGTTGATATGGCCGAGTTGGTCTAAGGCGCCAGATTAAGGTTCTGGTCCGAAAGGGCGTGGGTTCAAATCCCACTGTCAACATTCACTTTTTTTTATTATTATTTTTTGGTCTTAAAAACGGGAAAACAGCAGTGGAAAAAAAAGAAGGAAAAAACCGAAATATATATATATATACACAAATCGCCCATCTATCATATCTTCAATCGAAGCAGCTCCTTTAAAACCCTAAATAAGCTCTCAGAGGATTCTCGATCGAAACTAAGCAATCACTATGGGCTCAAGATCCGGCGATCGCTCCAGTCCACAGTACGTCTTTCTTCTTCTCGTTCATTCCTAGCTACATCCTTTGCATATGTTTTGGTCAAATTGAATGAAACAATCAAAGGTAAAAGCTTATGTTTCGTTTCAATTTTTTTGTGGTTTGCAGGAAAATATTCATTGGAGGATTACACAAAGACACAACCAACAGTAAGTCCTCCTTCTTGTCCCCTTGTGTTTATGTTCTGTTGGGATAATATTTTTAATCTACTGATTGGTTTTTTACTACTGCAGCTGAGTTCAATAGCCATTTTGGCAAGTACGGGGAGATTACAGATTCTGTCATCATGCGAGACCGAAACACTGGTCTACCTAGAGGTTTCGGTTTCATCACCTTTGCTGACCCTTCTGTTGTCGACAAAGTTATCGAAGATACTCACATCTTCAATGGCAAGCAGGTCTTGTAGCATTCATTGTTAGTTTATCTGATATTTAGTAGCATACACATGTTAAATCTTGATCAATATTTTTTTTCCTTGGATCAATCAGGTTGAGATCAAGAGGACGATCCCGAAAGGTGCTGGTGGCAATCAGTCTAAGGACTTCAAGACTAAGAAGATTTTTGTTGGTGGTATACCCTCTTCTGTTACAGAAGGTATATTTTTATTAGTTTATTACCTGTCTCTTGACTTATCTTGTAAGTAATATGCTTTCTCTCATGAGAAATATTTGTTTTTCTTTTTGTTGTTTAGATGAACTTAAGGAGTTTTTTGCCAAGTATGGGACCATAGTTGAACACCAGATCATCCGTGACCATCAAACAAACAGGTCTCGTGGTTTTGGTTTTGTAATCTTTGACAGTGAAGAGGTCGTTGATGAGTTATTGTCCAAAGGAAACATGATCGATATGGCAGACACTAAGGTAAGCTTCTTTCTGTGGTAACATATTTTTTCTGCTTGTTCCTTTTATTTATACACGTTGAACTTAGTTAGTAGTAGTCCCCATTAGCTTCGGAGGTTGTCATAGTAAGCTAGAAACTCCCTACTATAGGATAGCTAGGTTGATTAAGTTGCTTTGTTGTAGGTGGAGATCAAGAAAGCCGAACCAAAGAAATCGTCAAACCGTTCACCTCCTTCTTATGCTAGTCACACTAGAGGTCGTTCTTTCTTACCTTATGGAGGTTTTGATGTAGGGTATGGTCCTCTTCCAGGACCAGGTCCCATTAGGTCACATGGAGGTCCTCCTCCTCCTCCTAGTAGGTTTGCTGAGGGATATGGCCCATATGGGTATGGTCGTGGCGGTGTAGGCCCCGAGTTTGGACCCTATAGTTTAGGTTACCGGAATGAACCACCCCTTGGCTATTCTAGTCGTTTTGGACCCTATGGTAGCGGGTTTGGTGGTGAGGGTTATCCAGGATATGGTCGTGGAGGAGAGGAAGGCTACGTTGGATATGGTAATGCAGGTTATGGTGAAACTGGTGGTCCATACGGGAGGGGTTATAGTAGCAGTAGTAGTCGATACCATCCATATGCAAGATAGGCTTCAAGTAGTTCTGTTCAGATCCTTTGGTAGACGCTATAGAAGCTGGCTCTCTTGTTTAGTTGCGTTCTAGAGGAAACTAGAGTTACTATGTAGCGGACACATCAGGAAGGATTTGCTAAGGACAGAAAGAGTATCAATAAGTTTTTATTGCCTCATCTTTTAGTGTGTTTTTTTTCGAATTTAAGAGTGTTGCTTTTTTTTATATATAAACTTAGATTATGCTATGTAGACTTTAGCATACTTGAGGTTTGGAGTTTGTTTTGTTTCAGTGCCATAAGAATGATCGTTTGATAGTCTCTTTTCGTTTAGATAATGACTGACTTATTTTTAATTCCCTTACTCTCTTACTAAGGTTGCATTATTATACAAAAGTTAGCTTAAGAATCTCTGCTTAAAGTGAATTCATCAATCTTTAGCCCTCTTGTTGAATGCTTTATGTGGTCTTCCTATACCTGTAGATTTGTATTTGGAACTCTGGTATTACTTTAATTAGGTATGGGCAAATACTATAAGCTTGAGTATGTGTAAGTAGTTTTTTTTTTGTCAAATGTTTACATAGGTTCCACCGTTCTAGAAGTATTTAGTAATGCTATGGTTACAAGGGATTTAAAATTATTTTTTTGTGTGTTTAATAAGATCCCTAACTTCTAGCTACACCTAGAGTTTTCTTCATATGAGAACTTCTTAACAAAAAGCAAGCATCTATTTACGGTAAAGAAAACGTTACTCTCGGATATTCAGAAATAAAGAATGATACTATTTTTAGATAATTTGTTTTACATTTAACATAATTTTCTCTAACTTTCTAAAAGCCTTTTTTCAGTTTCGTAATTCCATTGTCTACTATTTTTAGAGGTTACTCTATTTGTAAGAAGGTAAGGGAAACAAAGAAGAAAAATAAAAAATGGAAGGGAAAGAGAAAGAAGAAGCGAAGAAGAGGATAATGATGCTGAATAAGATCAAACTCAAGGAGACAGCACAAGAGATAAGCCAAGAAGACGTCAAGAGACAAGAAGCTTACAACATGTCTCCACGTGCACGTGGCGGTGGTGGCCCGGCGGGTATGGTGAAGTCAGCAAGCGTGAGGCAAAGCTGTTTATGCGCACCAACCACACACCCTGGCTCTTTCAGGTGCCGTTACCACCGTCGTAACGCCGGACTCGGAATGACACGTGGCATATCCGTTCCCTCTAACCTTTCCATGTTGGCTGGAGGAGGGGGAGGCTCTGATTCTACCTCTGGCTCTCCCAAGTCCTGAAGTCATCCCAAGGTTAAATAACATATAATTAATGTGTTTTTCTTCTCAATTTATAACTTCTTCAATGTGTGTGTGTATTGTATATAAAAATTGAGACAGGCTTTGATTTTCTGTTCTTTATATTATGTTGGTAAATAATTTCCCTTTTTAATTTAGAAGAAAATAAATAAAAAGTTATGGCGTTTTGCACAACTGTATTCAAGTGGTTTGTGATGTAATTGTGTTTCCCATAAGTTTTGGTCACCTGTCTTTGTTGCTTATGCCTTTTTTAAACAATGTCTTGTCCACACAGAATACAACTTTGATTTAGGAATTAGACAACATTGTTATCCTCACCAAGAAATGTGATTGTAAATAATTAACAACCTAAAAAAAATTAAAATTGATATAAGAATCATATGTAAGCAAATATGAGCTTCAGAAATTAACAATGAAGTCGATGAATGATTCTTTCATTTCTTATCTCTTATTTTTCTTACAATGGTGTGTTAACATTGTATTTATACTTTTAAGAGAAAACCTAATGCCTAGAACATTTGGTATCATCAGGTGATAAACTATTAAATCTAAGACTTGAAATGTCCACCATATACATGGAATGTCCACACACACACACACAGAAAATAAATAAAAACACATGAAACTTCCTAATTATTACATTAAAAAAAAAAGCTCTTACACAAACTCTGAATCAAACTTTCACAGCATACAAAACATGACAATACTTTGGCGACTCATCATCATCACCATCACCATCATTATCATCATCACCATTATCATTATTACCATCATCATTCTCACCATCAAATCCACCATTGAAGCTAAGAGTTCTAGTTTCATCTCCAACTTTAGGCTTAAAAACAAACAACCCACTAGCCGAACCAGAAGTTTCAAACAACCAATCATGAACATCCCAAAAGATCTCCACAGAAACACCATCACTCACAGTCACAACTTCATTCCCTCTAAACCTCCAGTTCAAGTTCATGATCCTTATCGCCGGCACACCGTCCACGGTAATAAACATCTCAGGGTCATTAGGACCAGACAAAGAAGTCTCTATCACCACCTCGTTCTCACGTCTTGATGACTCTCCACCAAACGCTGTCCTTGTGTAAAACACACGTTTCCCGTGAACATGCTCTTGCTTGGAGACCAAGGAAGCTTCATTAGCCGAGGGTTTCTTCTTAGTTCTTTGCATAGCTTCGTTCTTTAAGTCTCCAATCGTTAAAATCACGACGTTTTGGGACACGAGAGAGACGTAGAAGCCTGAAGAAGGTTCAGGGAAGGTTGAGAACTTGGCTTTACGAAAGTCCCAGTATACATCGACCTTTGTGTCATTAGCTTCTAAGCTCTTTAGACCTTTCTTGCCCCAAAAGGAAGAGCCTGCGAGATCTATCTTGACCTGTTGATGATGGTGATCATGTTCTTCGTTCTTGATGTTCTCTGTTTTGATGGTTAAGGAATGTGAAGAAATGGTTCTTGACCATGTGAAGTCTATGTTTTGTGTAGCGTTTGCGATCTCAATGGCGTAGAGTAATGAGACAGAGCTGAATTGGTTAATCATTTTTTTTTGGAGGAAATTCTTTTGTGTTGGTTGTTGTTCCTTGAACCTTAATGCTTGAAAAATCTAGAGGTTTGGTCTCATGTTGATTCTTGAGATTTTTAGGAATTGAGAAAGGTTTTGTTTTTTTGCTGACATGAATATGTTTGGTTGAAACAAACTAAACAATTTTTTTGTGTGGTTTTGCTATGAATAGATTGGCTTCTTTCTAGAGAAAGTTTCTAAGTTTAGATCTTTCAGGAGTCTAAACCATAAATAGCTTGTGAACATTACCTATATTTAGTAACCCAAGCAGAGATGTTAGAGAATATTCTATTAATCAACCTATCTGTGGTGCCTAAAATCAGTTTCAGCACACAATTTAGAGGGTAAATGACCTCAAGATGAATAAATATTTTGGGTTCATATAATTAATTTAGAGGTTTGTAACTGCAGACACAAGGATTCATATCTTAGAAGGTTTTATTGTATATAAGGTGGTCGCAAGGAGTTCATTATGCAGTCTTATTATGGGATCACCAGCTGGAAAATTCTACTCCAAGCTCCTATATGTCACTGCCAGATTAGCTGAGTAGATTCTGAACGGCACATTTTAACTTGAATTTTGTTGGAGTACGCACTTTTATTGTATCAAAAGCCACAAGATCTTTCTTCAGTTTCCAACTTTTTTGCTTGAGTACTTAAGATGTAGAGACGTCAAGCACCAGGCATGAATGAAACAAGTGTAAGCAGAGTGTTTTTTTTTGTCAACCATCTCCCTATATTAAACCAAGTTTGGACCATAGACCAAATCCATAACCATCGGTTAGGTATGATCTACATGAAAAAATAAAGTTACTCGTGCTCTAGCTCTTTTATACTTGCGATTTCTAAGTAACGATAAATCAAACACAAATCCATTTCTATAAAACCCTGAGTCTTGCTCAATCAGACAGCATAAACCCTGAGAGATGACCAGAAGACATGCTCTTGCAGTTACACCTTTCCTAAGTTTTGTAAAGAAGAGCTATTAAAAATACAAAAGAGCAATTGAAAAAAGTCTCTTTAGATCACAGTTTGTTGGCCTTGTGACCAAATGATTATTGTTTTGAATGTTCAGCCGCCAAAGAGAAACCCAGCAGCTTGTTCTTCGTTTCCTTCAAACAATCTGAGGGCTTGTACCACTGCTTCTCGGGAGAACCCTAACTCCACAAGCTTTGCAATCTTGCCTTCAAATTCAGGTCCCTGTGGGTTACACGATGACATAATTAACAAAGACTGAAAAAAGGACTAAAAAGAAGGTGAGACTAAAATTTGAAACTCAGATTCTCACATCTGATGTGTTTTGACTTGAAGGTTGCCTCGCTGGGCTTGCAACGGTGTTATTCTTCTTCTCTGTAAACCCAGAAGGAACCTATAGGACCAAAAACAATTTTACTATTAAAAACTTATCTCATCCAGCTATATAGTTAATGAAAACCAAAGATACTGTACAAAAGGCAAAATTTCTTACCCCTGCTGCTCCAGAGCTAGATGCTTGATTCGGAAGACGTTCTTCATCCAGGAATCTAGAAGGAAGGTCTTTCTCTGAAGGAAATACGGTTATATCTTTGTCAGGTTCATTGAAAATAAAGATAGCAAACATAAAAATGGTTCAAAAATGAAATGGTAGTAGAGAACTAGCCTTGCAAAAAGGGAACCGAGACCTCTCCTCCTCCAACAGTCAGGACGTTGTCCTTCAAATCTATGGTACACTACACATAGAAAAAGAGAGAAACCATTAACCATTTGGTTTTGAAAACATACAGTGAATCCAAAATCAAATGATGGAGATGTTACCTGATGCTTACGCAACATATCTAGGCCAAATAGGAATTCCATGTTAGGTGAGTCCAGCACCACGAATGAACACGGGTAAAAGTTATTCCCAATCTGCAAGTTACAAGATATTCAGTTTCTTTTGGCATAAATCATTATAACAAGGGGGGTCACATCACTATAAGAATTTTTACCTTGATTGGAGCGACATGAATGCGGCCTAATATCTCTGTTTGGCCAACACCCTGAGCAATACCTTTATACCGTTGATCCATGAGTCTCAGTAATCTGAAAGTAACAATTAAACAAGACTCATGATTATTCCATCATTATATCTTCAAACATGTACTAGAAGTAGAACCATAAAAGTGTAAGAGTTACCCGCATCTCTCAGCACAACTCTTGGATATAATCGTTGACTGTGCACCACTATCAACAAAAGCCTGGAGATGGTGTCAAATCTAGGATTAGAACATACATATGATCTGCGGAGTACTCAATATCAGATCCCTAAAGGCAATGATGAAAAGTTAAATAGAGAGCCAGCAAAAGAGAGGTTATGTTCTGACCTTTAGAGGTACCCCATTGACCTCCATATCCACGTACAGCATTATCTACAGAAATGAGAAAAGGAAATTTCAAGTCTGTGTACAACAAAGTTGTCATCAGAAGCATAAACTAAAACATGAGCATACATACCACCCTGGCAAAACCTTCAGGGTTATGTTCTAGGGCAGCTTCCCAGTTCTCATCAATTCCTTTCTGCTCAAAAGTATCAAGACAGTACCAAAAGTCAGAAACGACACAAAAAGATAACAAGCTATTTAATTAGGAGAACACAACAACCAAACTTAAAGAGAATGTTTGCATCAAGTAATCACAAAAGACACACTAGAGTTCAGTACATTGCAACTTAAGTAAGAACAAATAACCTGTCGAATTGCAGCTTCAATTTTCTTCTGTGCTTCAACATCAAAAGGATCTGCATACAAAAGAGCCTGCAAGGGAGCAATACATAAGCAGAATCCTTCAATTTGTGGGAAAAAAAACTGAGAATCTAGCAACTCTTTCAAATCAAAAAGGCTTACGAGTTCCTCTTCCTTCTGACGCTGTACTACTGATCGCTGCTGATGCCTTGAACGCAAAACATCCTGCAACTTATTCAAATCGCTCCCAGTAATCACTTGTGCAAGCTCAGGATCTGTCTACAAATCACAACATCAAAATCAAAGTCATAAAACGAAACTCCATGAGGAATAACAATATCATAGTTCCAGCTCCCAAGCTAAGGTCTAGTAACCATCATCAAACTCACACCTGAAATAACTGTCCCATAAGATTAGCATCACTCCGAATGTGCTGCTGAAAAGCTGCAGGATTCAAAGCTGACCCATCAGGATTCATCCCCAAATCACTCCTTGCCGCACTACTACTGAACAAAACAAGTAAAGAGAGAAACCATGATCAATGATGGTTCAACTGCAAAATAACTTCCAAAATAGAGTAGTAGCAAAAAGGTCATATCAATTCCACAGTACGTACCCAGATGAGGCATTGGAGACCATCATCATCATCAACAAATCATCATCCTTAACACCCAAGGCACTCAATTTATCAGAGTTCCTCATCTCGTTTCCGTTATACAAGAGCTGTTGCTGCTGAATCGGAACATTCGCCTGCTCATTAATGCAACAAAAGAACAAAGTAAGCTTTTAAGTTCCAAAAACACATTAAAGATCGAAGCTTTCTGTAGATTTTTCAAGCTGCTTCGAACTAAATCAAGTAAACGAGAGATCTGAGATCGTTCTCTTACCTCAACTTCGAGCAGGGCTTTAACATTCTCAACCTTAGAGTAAACAAAACCAAAGAACATCAAACTTGGACTAATCAATTGGAGAAAGTTAGATGAATCTTGATCAATTAGTACATTGTGATTTTCTGAGAAGCGAAGAATCAGGGAAAGAAAAAAAAAAAAAAAAAAAGAATCAGGGAAAGTTAGGGTTTTTTAGGAGAAGAACTTACGGTTTCGTGGGAATCGACGTCGAGGGTGATGATTTGTTCACCGGTGGTCATTACAGTGATCCTCATCTTGTATGTAATCTGTTTCTCTCTTTGGTATCTCTCTGCCTTCTCTACTTGGCTTTCCTTCCTGAACTCTCTTGTCTTATAGGTGAAGTCAAACCACGGTCGTATTAAATGTTCCTAAACCTGCTCTCTCGGGAAGAGGCTTTAACGGGGTTGGTTGTTAAACCCAATGGGCCATGGCTGTTAAAAACCCGATATTGCCCCTGGATCGGTTTAATTTGTTTTTTGGTTTAAAGGCATCGACCGGTTTGACTTTTTTTGTAATCTATGAAAATAAAATACTATTTTACTGTAGATGTATAAGAATAAGAATGTTTTTTTTGTTCTCTTATGAATTTTCTAATAGAATTATGCTATAGGGATCTTCTATTTGGGGTTATCTGAAATAGAATATGGTTTAAACTTTTTTAGCTGCGAACTGCATTAACTTAAAAGGAATAATGATGGAAACGAATTTTAAACGTTACGTGATTTGATCCCAATTGTATCTCTCAACAAATACAATATCTAAAAAAAAACAATGAAAGGCAAAAACTACATCTGATTAACGAAACATTAGAATACACAACAAGGAATCAATATGAGAGGTATTGTACGTAGAAATGGTAAAAACAAAACCTATGAACCCAACACCTTTCAAACACAAACGCTGCTGGTTCGATAATTAAGGATTCATATCAGATTCACAGCTAGTTATGACCAGCGGGAGCTGGGAAACCGTACCCTCGACGACCAAAGTCTCCTCCTCCTCCGCAGCCGAACCTCGGATCGCATTCGAGATGGACGGTCTCTTGGATCTTGTTGTAACTATCCTTGTATACTCCGAACCCGAATAGAAATCCAATGGCGATCACAACCAAAAGCAAACACGTGCACATCATGCAAACCCGTCCACAACACATTTTTTCTTCGATTCTCTTGCCGCTCTTTGTTTGAAATATGTGGCCGGAGATTCAGAGATTCGTCTACGATATAGGTTGAAGATATAAGATCAGAGATGGAGCTTGTTTGTTGGTTTTGTTGGTTTTGTTGGCGAGAAACGTGGAGACAGAGAGAGACAGAGAAGAGGGATGTTAGTGGGAGATGAAAAGGAGATATAAAAGGAGAGATTGTGCGCGTGGACGTTACCCCTATTTCTTGCTTTTAAAGCTAATCCAACTCCTTAACACTATTTTTCACAACAACGGTCTCCTTCTTTCTATCATTAGCTAGTTGACTATCAGTCTCTACTGGGCCAAACTTTAAGGCCCGTTTTGATCAGTTGTGGTTCTTTTAATATGTTGATGATGCAACAAGATAATTTTTTTTTTTTTTTCCTTCCGGTGAAAAGCATAAGTAAATATCATTTTACGTTGTCTTCCTCTTAAAATGAACAAATACCAGCATAATCCCAGATATTTATTGTTGGGTTTAGCTCCATTTGAGTTGGTCTTGATGCAGAACAAATACATGCGTTTTTACCATTTAATCACTTCAACTTGGTGACAGTAAACTGTTATGTAAAAAAAAAACTCGATGACAGTAACTTTTACAATTTTATAAGCAGAGAGAAGGATTCCAGTTTACATGGTCTATTCTCAAGTTATATTTACGCCTAAATATATATACTGACTATGTATAATGGTTTCAACATCCTCCTCACTTTCAACACTCTTATTTTTTCTTTTTAATATTCGAGATCATCTTTCCTTTCTTCCACCTCATTTATTCAACATCCACTTCATTCTAAACTTCTACAATGGTTTATTTTAAAAAATTCAACACTATACCCCATAATTTTTAATTCATATTAATTATTTTTCTTACAATATAATAATTAAATTAATAATATATATATATTTTAAATTATTATACTTAGTTTATTTTTAAATAATAAATATCAATAAAACAATTAAAATTAAGAATAGATTCATTTTTAGTTAGATTTTTAGCTAATTTTATTTTTTTTTAAATACGAAAATTAATATTAGTAAAACAATTAAAATTTAAAAAACTTTAAATACACATGATACAAACACACATTATTAAGAAATTTAAACACATACGATACAAAGCAAGCAAAATAAAAATACATAACTTAATTAGTACAATGGACTCTTATTAAACCGCAAAAAAATAATCTCTTAAAGCACACACATAAATTTAACCATGAAACATTCCAAATTTAGCCCATATGTGTTTGACCAGATCTGATTACAATTCATGGTGTACATTTGAATCACGTAATTCAGATCTAGCACGCACATGATTTGCAAATACTGGTAGCACTTCAGTAGAAAATGGTTGTGGTGTACTCGAACCACTTGCCTCATATTGATCATAGTAGGTCCAGCGCTGAGCATATGTATCTCGTTCATCCTCAACAATCATGTATTATGCAATATGATACATGATCGCATGATGATAGGCAAATCCGATTTCCTATGATGATACACTAGCGAGTGTACAGTACCGAATGTACACTTGCTAGTGTACACAAGCGATTTTACATAGTCTTATAAGTGTTTATAAAGACATAAAATGATTTACACTAGCGAGTGTACACTTGAGAATGTACAGTACTGAGTGTACACTAACGGGTGTACACTAACGATTGTACATAGTCTTATAAGTGTTTATATAGACATAATAGATAAAGGAAAATGACGTTTTGTTTTTGGTATCCAAATGAAATTAGACTAGTCTCTATTAATAGATAAAGAAAAATCTTGATTTTTGATATAATTTTATATTTTTTAAAAAAGTTTTATTATATAAAAGAAAAAGCAAAAAAAATCTGCATAGTCAATCAAGAAACGACATGTGGCAGCCGTGGATCACAAAAAAAAAATTCAGTATGTTGAAACTTTGCAACGGGTGTTTATGCATGCCACATAGATAAACTAAATTAATCAACACCCTCATTGTAAATGTTTCAACAATTGAAAGAAGTTTTCAACACCCTCATTATGGATGGTCTAATAAATAGAATGAAAGCCCGACATAAATGTTGTACTGAGTAAAATATGATATTAATATGGAAAACATCCTCATTTTTACTATAAAGATGATTATAACCCCATAACTTTTATTCATCAACATAACGTCTCATTTCAATTTGAACTGAGAAAAAGCAACACAAGTCTCCAAAAGTTCTCTAACTCTTTCTCTTAAGTCGTCACCGTCTATGTCTCGTTGTTCTCTTTCCGCCTCTCTACATGTGACATCCCGTTTCTTATTTAGATCCGCTGAGTCTTCCATGTGACATAACTTTTACTCATCACACTAATGCTAGATTCGACTATCTTTTGAAATCTCCCAAAATCCATGGCCTCCTCACCTGGTAACAACACTAACGCTCTCACTCTTCCCCCGTTCGATCACGCTAACGTATTCAAACCTTCATCAAACCCTTACCCTACGCCGCCGACATCTTATCATCAGCTCTACGCTCCGCCGCGAATCGTAATTCAACCATCTCAGGTGACTCAGACGCAACAACAACATGAGACTAACTTGCACCCGCAGAGAACACTATCTAACACCTCGCTACGTAGCAATCACAATCCCAGAACGCACATCAACGGCGGAGACAACAACGCACATCACTCATTAACGAATCCCATTCTCATCTCGAGTTGTAAGCTTCCTAATGGAAGGCGGCTGATCGGGGAAAATTCGATGTAAGATGTGGATGTGAGGTTACACGGAGAGGTTCAGCCTCAGCTTGAGGTGACTCCGATTACTAAATATAGGTCGGATCCCCTGCTCGTGATTGGTCGGTAAATCGCCGTGAGTAAGGTTTACATTTGCTATGATTGAAAGGAGGGAATATTCGGGTTCTTAATGTAAATACTGCCTCGAGGGCTTTGTTCCGAGGCCATTCTCAGGTTTGTGTTTCTCAATTCTTTGAGTTAGTTAAGTGTACATATGGTTTTGATCGCAAGCTTAGTGATTCTTGTGATTCTTGTTATAACTGATGTCTGTGTTTTGACAATCACAACTAATATTCCTTTACAAGTGGAAGCACCTTTGGACCCAAGAACAGAACTATCCAAGTTGATATCTAAACACAAGTGTTGACATGAAGCATAATTATGTTAGAGACTTATAAGGTTTTATAACTTATAAAGCTTTATAAGATTTTTATAAGGACGTTTCCACCTATGTTGGGTCACTACCGGTCTCAGTGCCTAAAGAGAGACAAGTACATTCAAGGACTTTGTCACCTAAAGTGGGTCGCTACCGGTCTTAGTGCCTAAGAAGAGACAGATACCTTCAAGGACTTTATCACCTATGGTGGATCGCTACCAATCTCAGTGGGCAGTCCCCAAAATGTTCAGATCTTCTTTATTTTGAATTTGTAGATCTAGAAATACCTATATAATTGTTATATTGAACTTTTATTCAATATAAGGAAAATATTTTCTTCATTCACTCTCTCTTCCTTGCGGATCTCTCTCCCCCTTCACTTGTTCTTCACTTGTTTCCCTTCACTTGTTCTTCACAAATCATTTACTTTCAGCAAGTACGAAGAGTCTTTCACTTCGGCTTTACAGAAAAGAGATGTCTTCATAGTAGCATGGCTTTGCTCACAGGTAAAATTTGGTTTGGATTTCATGAAGTGTTGGATCTCACAACCATTAGTTTCACATGTGATCTCATGTCTTGCCAATTAAGGTGGATGTGCGTGGACTTCTAGCGATGAACCCGCTCCCTCTGAACCAAGGCGTGCTTTTGTCATTGCTACAGCAACTAGCCTGCGACATCAGCAAGGATACTTTTCGTAAGCTTGCTTGGATGACTGATGTGGTTGCAGACATTAACCCATCAGACCAAATGGTAGTGGTCCACGGTCGGCCAATCTTTGAACAAGTGTATCAGATTCTGCACCACCACCGTAACGCATGGGGCAATGACGTCTCTGCCATCAGACTTATAATGCATGTCATCAACTCCATGCTTATGAGCTGCAAATGATAGAAGACATTGTTTATATTAAACCATAGGAATAAATTAATTTCTACCGTCGTTTAGATAAAAAAAACTATTTACACTAATATCTCATACACCTTTTAAGCTGATATTGATCTCTGTATTTTAATTGATATGAAAAGTATATTGATTTTAGAAATTCAAGAAAAAACTTTTGATTTTAAAATTTCTTTAGAATTTTAATAAATATTTACAAATTTAGATGTTTTCTCGGATTGAAATTTTTATTTTCTTAAAGAAAATATACTAAATGTGAAAATGAAATTAAATATATTAATAAATCTGATTTGAATTACGATTTAAAAGAATAGACCAAAAACACAAGTTTCAATATAAATTTTAATAATAGAATGAATAACTTTAGCCTTTCTATACATTTTTAAATTTATTAGAATATATATAAACCAATAACCCCACAAATATTCATAAGACAAAAAATCAAATTAAATAATACAAAATATATTAATAAGAAAGCTAGCGTTGCTAAAGATAGAATTGATCAACTGAACATAAGTTATGACCATTTTAAGAATTTTACTTATTAAATAATTAGTTATATATGTTCTGTCTTTGAATTTTTAACTTTTATATCAAAAGATATTCTTTGAATAACAACACAACATATAGGCATTATCTTTTTATTTTAAAATATATATTTTTAGATTTTGGATAATTCTTATTATTATTAATTTTAATAACTTATTTGATCAAATAAATTTTAAATTCATTTTTTTATTTTTGTTATTTTATATAAAAATTCATTAAGTGTAATATTGATATTAGCTGTTCTAATTTTTAACATGAGATTTCGAATAAAGAAAATCACTTCACAAATAATAGTATAGATTATTACATGCCTCTAATTCAATATTTTTTTAAAAATAAACAATAGATTAATTTATAATTTTAACACAACCCACTTCTAATTTTAGATTGAATAAATACACTAAATGTCAAAAGCAAAAACATAAACCTATAATCTCAACCAATCAAGTTTCAAATCGCGTTTTTTGTAGGTTATCAAACATCAAAGATGTAAATATATAAGTTTAATCATAAATCAATAACTAATCAGATGGGGATTTCAGATGATTTCATTCATATTTTAGTTTAAGTGGTTGATGAGACAAAGTCTCTCTAGATACAACTCATTTTATGATTCATATATAATCTAGGAGAGCGAGTTATGGAGAAGTTTGATTTTGATTTTTTTTTTAAATAATAAAACATATAATTATAAGGTTCGAAAGAGTATGTGAATGAAACTTAAAATAAATATAAAAATTCACACACATTTAATTCACGAATTGAAGATTATGTTGCAAAAACAAATATCCAATGCAAATTTTCTTCTTAGTACATTGGCTAACCAAGAAAAATGTAGTTAACTAGACACATAATCGATGTTGCTTCTTTTTAACATTAGTCCTTTCAATGTGTTATCAATATTTAAAGTTAAATGCATGACTGAATTGATATTTTTGCTTGAAAATCAACAAAACAAATGATCCAAATAGAAAAACAAATGAGTAAGACAAATCCCACAGTAATTCACTACTTTCCTTATATACAAAAGTAGTAGAAAATAAAAATTACAACACAGCAATGCACAAAAAAAAATCACAAGCAAAAAGGGAGAGAAAAATACAAAAGTAGTAGAAAATAAAAATTAAAACACAACAATGCACAAAAAAACACAAGCAAAAAGGGAGAGAAAAATACAAAAGTAGTAGAAAATAAAAATTATAACACAACAATGCACAAAAAGAAAACACAAGCAAAAAGGGAGAGAAAAATTTAGTCTCATGTGCCTTTTAGGGCAGTTTTGAGGCTTAAGAAGTTCATGATACTGTTGATATTTTATGGGAAACTTCGTGAATTAGTTGGTTTAACATTCAACGATGAAATTTGCATTTCAACGGTTAGGTTATCATCAAAAGGTATTGATTATTTGTAAACAATAACATAAACAATAAATCTATTTTATTGAAAGACGATCACTACTAATTATTAGCTTTATATTACTTTGGAATATAATTTATTTTGCCACTGATTTTACAAAGGAAGTTATATATAATGGTAATTTGGTTATTAGACCCACAACTCCTTATTATTTGCCTAACCATTACATAAATTTTATGTTTCCAGATATATATGTTACTAGAGTGGGTAACAATTTTTTTTACGTGTCCCAAATTCATTATTATTATTCGTTTTTTGTGTTAAATTTTGTTGTCAGTTTTGTAAAATTTTGTAAAGTCAACATTGCATAGGAGCACAAAATTTTGCGTATTGGTTGTCGGTTTCGTAAAGGCTTCTATTTTTAGTATTGTGCAAAGTGTTTAGATATAACTAGGTGTTTTGCCTGCACATGCGGGCATAATTTTCGTACAATTTATTATTAGTTTGTATTTTATTAATTCAAACTAATATAATAAGTTATGATTTATGTTTTAAAATTAATTATAAATGAAAACACTCACATAACAAAATATTAATAAAAATATTTTTTTACAAATGTGTTACTTTAATTTATTTTAACTATAATTTTTTATTTCTATAAAAAATATATTTTTGAGATAACAATATAATACGTAAGCAGTATCTTATTTTCTCAAAATATAATTTTTAATAGAAATTGTTTTTATTTTATAATAAATTTAATATGAAATTATTAAAATATGACAAATAATCAAAATTATCTAAATCATGGAGAAATTACAAATCAGATAATTCACTTAAATATTCTAATAGAAAATATATGTTCAAGATAACAATCTAATACATAAGAATTATCTTATTTATTTTTAAATCTAGTATTATTAGTATACATTCGTTTTATTATTTAATAAATTATATAGAAAATTATTAAAATATGATAAATAAGCAAAATATAAAACCTTGGAGAAGTTGATAAATCAGCATTGTTTTCTTTATATTTAACTATTAATATTTTAATTTAATTTTTAATTTAATTAAGATAACTCTATATAATATTATTAATCATATAAAATAAAAGATCATGAATTAATCATATAAAATAAAAGATCATTCAAAAAAAAAATACGTGTGTGACAAAAATAAATTCAAATATATTGTACTATTATCCAAACTAATATTATTCTTGTTGTAAGATCAATTTTTGAATGTATATTTATCGATTCAATTTTTCAAATTGAAAGATAGATTTCTATATTTTTTTATCAATTATGAAGATATGAAATAGACTTTAGATTTTTAAAAGTTTTAAAGGAGAATAACTTTATCATGTAAAAATGTTTTATGTTTTATGTCAAATTTTTTGAATACAAATAATCATTTATTTTATAATAGAAAATAAATGTTCAAGATAACAATCTAATACATAAGAATTATCTTATTTTTTTAAATCTAGTATTATTAGTATACATTCGTTTTATTATTTAATAAATTATATAGAAAATTATTAAAATATGATAAATAAGCAAAATATAAAACCTTGGAGAAGTTGATAAATCAGCATCGTTTTCTTTATATTTAATTATTAATATTTTAATTTAATTTTTAATTTCTATGATAAAAAATATATTTTAAAGATAACAATATAATACATAAAAATTATCTTATTTTCTAAAAGTATAATATTATTAATAGAATTTCGTTTTATTATATGATAAATTATTCATAAAATTAGTAAAAATATAACAAATAAGCAAAATTACAAAAATCATGAAGTAGTTACAAATCAATGAGTAAATTCACTTAAAATTTATAATTGAAAAATAGATTTTTAAGATAAAAATTTAATACAAAATAATTAAAGTATTTTCTAAAATATAATATTATTAATATAAATTCGTTTTTATTAAGTAATAAATTGTATATGAAATTATTTAAATAAGATAACTCTATATAGTATTATTAATATAAATTCGTTTTTATTAAATAATAAATTGTATATGAAACAATTTAAATAAGGTAAATAAAAAAATTTACTTAAAATCAAGGAGAAGTTGACAATTAAGCAAATTTACTTCTTAAATAATAATATAGATAACCATCAGTTTTTCATATGATCCAACCAATTCAGGTGGAATGGCATGGACTACTATCGAATTTATAAGCAACAATATTCTCGTTGTCCTCTAATTCCTTTGGGACATATGTGTCTTGGTACCCAACCACAAGCGCCCTCTGAACAGGTCCCCCCAACCTTCCGTTTTCAAACTTTCTAAGATGCGACTGTAAGTGTTTTCGGTAAGGAAATCATGTGGGGCTGCTACATTTTCCTAGTCCCAGCAGACTTTTACTTGTTTCAGAGGTTTTGCCTTGGGAGCAAGAATAGAGTTGTCCTTCTCATGGAGGTTCTACAGAGAACACATGAACAGACATGAATTTTTTTTGTTAAATGTCGATCCACTAACATAGAATCAGGTACGTAACAAAAGAAACCAACATCCAATATGTCATCCACGTCATTAATTAATTAACTGCAAACTTACTTCATTTACGGTTTTATTGAAATTGACCGGATTTAAAAAGTTGATATAGTAAATTTAAATTACTAATTAATTTATGGGAGTTGTAGCATTCTTCGATAGTTCATGTATTAATAAGCCGGGAACGATTAGTTTATAGAGGAATATGCCATTTTCCCCCTTTAAATATGTTCATTGTCTAAAGACACTCCTAATTATAACATTCTTACATTTTTTTCTCAAGCTTTCAATATAAAATCATTTAGCAAAAAAAAAGAATTTATTTACACTGATATCTCATATACATTTTTAGGGTGATAATGACCTGTGTATTCTAATTGATCTGAAAAGTATACTGATTTCAGTAATTCAAGTAAAAACTTTTGATTTTCAAATTTCATTTGATTTTTAATAAATATTTACAAATTTATATGTTTTTCTCAGATTAAAGTTTTTTTAAATCTACTAAAGGTCAAAATGAAATTGAATATATTAATAAATATGATTTGAATTACAATTTAATATCATAGAACAATAACACATTTTTCAATATAGTATTTTAATAATATAATGAATAACATCATATTTTGTATACATTTCTAAATTTATCAGAATATATAAACTAATAACCCCACAGATATTCATAAAACAAAAGTTTGAATTGAAAATAAAGAATACATTACTAAGAAAGCTAGCATTACTAAAGATAGGATTATGAACTAAACATTACTTATGACCATTTTAAGAAAATAGATAGTGACACAGAAGGTGAAGAAATAATTATTAGAGATAATTGGTTAGGCTGTAAATATTAATTTTATCTTTATTTTCTATCTATTACTATAAAAATCATCAATCATACTTTAATTAGTATTTAAAATTAAAAAGGTAAAAAATGACTGTAGAAATATTATTTTCAAAAGAAAAAGAAAATACTATTGTATGATTATCGTAAATATTTTTTCAATATTTAATTTTTATAGCTGTATTAGATACAAGTACATCAAAAAATAAAATTTACTGTAAAATTTCTACAATATAGTCCAACCCGCATTGTATTAAGTTTTAACTTTTGTTTTTGTATAAAGCAGAAAATAAAATAATGTACATCTCTCTATTAATAACTTACGTGACACATGTTAAAAGAAGGCTGGTAAAAACTTATTTACCCTCTTACTTTTTTTTGATCAAAATTTACCCTCTTACTTAAAAAATAACGAAAGGGGAAAATAAAGTAAAAAGAGTGCCCTCTACTACTAAACTACCAACACTGATCCGTCTCCCATCTCCGGGTCATCGGGTACACCCGACTCGTCCGACCCATGGATGATCCAGCATGCACTCGTCTCCGCCGTGCTCCCAGCGTCGAATCATAGTTCGCTCTAGTCATCGGATCCGCCAACGTCGCGTAAGCTTTGTGAATCTCCATGAAATCTCGTCCGTCCGATTCCGATGCGTCGGGATGGTGAACCTTAGCTAAGCTCCGGTACGCCGTCTTAATCTCCGTCAACGACGCCGTTTCGTCGACGCTCAGCAGTTCGTAGAGACTCGACGCTCGACGACGAACTGATTCCGTTACAGCTGGTTCCGCGTTGAGAGTCTGTGTGGAAGCTCTAAACGACGTAGTTCCGGTGGTGGAAAATCTCGCGTTTTTGTTGTGGAGTTTGGTTGGCTTGAATCGTAGGGAGTTACTGGCTGAATAGATTAAGGTTCCGGACATTTACGTAATTAAATTAAAGTTGGAGGGGCGAATTCGAAAGTAAGCGTTAGAATTGGATTAAGCAGAGAGAGAGAGAGGGAGTTCGTGGGGGAAGCAGATATGAGACACAAGAGATGGATTGAGAAATGGTCAGTATTTATAGAGTCCAAAACTTTTGGTAATGTAGAATATTCATTATTTTCTTAATTACTTTAATTATTAAATAATAATATTTATTCGACTTCGATGGTACGATGACGTGTCATCCAGTTCAAAAGATTGGTCTTCTAGAATCCCTTTACAAGATTGAGATGATTAATCAGATAGAGCTGTCTACTTAATTTCTTTTTGTTGGTACATGTTTTAATGAAATTTAAATCGGTTTTCAAAATTAAAGGTTGTATTTTTTTTGAACAGTCAATTCATAGCTCTCTAACCATTAATTTAAATTTGGCAATAGTGTTTAAAGGGGACTATCATATATTTTAGAATTATCATATCCACTGATTATAAAAAAAAAGTACTTGCAGAGTATATTCGATTTCCAAACAAATAAAAACATACAAATGTGCTTCTAGAAGAAGAAATCATTCCCAGCAAATCAAAGGTGCAAATTAAAGTATCTGTTTTTTCTTTCAAAAAATAAAATAAATATCAATTTTCGAGAAGCATTTTTGTGTTTATACATTTACTTATGGTCGCAATAGTGTCGAGAGAAAAGAGACAAATGGTGTCTCTCACAATGACATGTCGGTTAGGGCACGGAGATGGATACGACTTCTAGAAGACAATACGATTACGTGTGTAACACACTCGATGCAATGTGTTTAGTTTGAACGATGGTTTAGTGGTTGATAGATTACATATTTTAGTAGTAAAAGTAATGTATGGCAGTATGGGTTGTTAGTTTATTTTGCGATAAGTGACTACCAATAGTTAACGTGTATATTTTTTGACAAAAGTAGTAAAAATGATTAACTATAAGGTTGATTATATTGATGAATTGTTTAATTATGTAGTTAAGGTGGGGACTACTACTATGTTTCAAGGACTTGGTGTGGGAGTCATGTATTGACACTATTGTGTGTACTCCAAGTTCCACAGACGCTGGCTCTACGTTACTTAATCCCCTTTTTGAATATTAAAATTAATCAACTGTATTTTCTGTTACTACCATCAACTACAGTCACTGTGAAAACTAGTTATTAAAAAGCATCACCACAAAAATAACCACAAGTAACTGCCCTTAGTCCCTTATGCAAGAGGAATCTTGTAAGTTATTGATTCAATTAACTGCCCTTAGCCCACAACTAACTATTTAATTAGTCACTTATGCAAGAGTTGATTAGTTGTAAATTGTAATACAATTGTTGTCCTTGTCCAGATAAATAGATGATTGTGTATTTGTATGTTGATGTTTTGCTGGCTGTATAGCAACAACTATCTTTGTATCACAAGTTTATCATTATACTCGCCCAACGTCGTTGATTCGCAGCTAACTTATATATATATATGCCGGGGTTGGCTTGTTTTAAATAAGATGTTCGTGGATAAATACTTAAACTACAACGTAGCTGAATAATAATATTGATAATGCGTATAATGGATCGCCAACTCGATATGAAGCTACCTGGCCATGTGCTTCACTGAAAAGTACTTCTCAACCTTTAATAAGAATGAAATCGAATTATTTAAATTATACTATCTTATAGAAACCCATAACCTATTGTGGGATGGTATAGTTTTTACAATTCTCTAGGATTGGTCTGAATCTTAGTGAGACCAGCTAATACTGTGTCCATCTTTTAATCAGACTTTGTGAATGTATCTTTTTATCTTTTCATACTGAATCCAAATCGAGTCTTTCTTTATCTTCTTATACTGAATCCATATTCTGAGCAAAGCTAGGTGAATAACTCTAAAACTTTATAACCCAGACTTGCGTAATTCCAGTTCATACTACTTTGGGAAAGACGTTAGTTGGTTCTCTCTATCTCTCATAGACCATCTAAAACTGCGACACCAGTGTAATGGGCCAACTTGAGTCTAACAAAAGACTGAGTTGATAATATTTCTTTTCCTGCTAAACATTTTATTGTTATCAATCCAAAGATAGAAAGATATTACAGAATTTTGCCCAAAAAAAATAAAGATATTACAGAACTACATAATCTTTAGCAAACGAAAAAAAAATACTACATAATCAAATTTATATATGCGCTATACACTGAAGACACTTAAGACAAGCAAACGAATTATGGATGCTTTTTATCAAAGCTTTACTCGCAAATTGCTTACCAGTCCGTTATACAAGAACCTACTCTTCTTGTGCCAAAGTTATGCTTGGAGCTTGGTCACGGGTCATAGGCCTCCTTTAGGTAGGGCTGGGTTGCGGGTCAAACCCGCCCCGCTGACCCGCCAACCCGCGGATTTTAGTTATTTTTTTTGTTAAAAAATCCGACCCGCACAACCCGCGACCGTATAAATTTTCACCCGCACCCGCCCCGCTTAATTTTGCGGGTAACCCGCGGGACCCGCGGGTTATATATCTTTTTAAAAAAAATACTTATTTAATTTATTTTTTATGAAAAAGTAATAAAAATTATATAGTTATAAAAAAATTATATATATTCAAAAATTTTAATTATTATTTTTAAAAAAATACCGTAATTTTTTTAAAAATACATTTATTTTTCCAAAAAATACTATTTCTAACAAAAAAAACACAATTTAAAAAAAAAAATGAAAAAAAAAAATTTTGCGGGTTGGCGGGTACCCGCGATTAAAAATTCACCAACCCGCACCCGCCCCGCATAAAATACTCAAAACCCGCACCCGCACCCGCCAATCGATTTTTTCAAATTGTTCAACCCGCACCCGCCCCGCAGCGGGTCAAACGGGGCGGGACCCGCGGGTGATCACTCATATTCCCAGCTCTACCTTTAGGTGTATGCCGCCGGAATAGAAGTAAAAAGAAACGTTTTTATTGTTGGGCTTTATTTTGGGCCATCGTATTTCACATGACTGTAATGGGCTCTCTCTCTCTTCCATATATATCCACGAGTTGACCAAAATAAAAAAAAAAGATTCGCGGGTTATTTTTTTAAGACATTAGATTGCCTGAGTGGGACCGTAGTAAAAAAAGGTTAAACGTCGCCGTTATTTCTGTCTTCTTCTTCTACTTTTACGTTTCTTCTTTAGTCAAAAAAAAAAAAAAGAAATTCTTCTTCAAAAGAGAGATTTCAACTTTGAAACCAGAACGAAACTTCCTCGCTCGTGCTCTTCTTCTACTACAGGATTTAATCTGAGATCTAAAAAAGGATCCTAAATCTTACACCGACACACAGATCACGAAATCTCCTCTATTAATCATTTGACCAAATCTCCTTTCTCTTCTCCAGATCAGAACAAGAACTAGAAGAAACCTCAAAGTCTTCTGCTTTATTGTTTCTTATGCTCTGATTTTGTTTCTGCAACTTCTTCCTTCGTTGACTGTGAGGTAAAGTTGCTTCCTTTTTTTTCTCTTTCTTTGACCAAGTCTCGATCTTTAACTGTTGTGAAGTGTCTTTTTACACGACAGGACTTTGTAGTTTGATCTTTTGGTCCATGTTTTGGTAGCCACGAGGGGGTATGAGTCATTGTAAAGTTCCGGCTCTTATTGAAGCACAAGTTGAAGTAAGTTAAATGGCACTTATGTGAGACTTCCTTGTCTTGTTGTGGGATGCTTAATGAGAAGATGGTTGTTGTAACAGATGGGATCGGTTAATGAACTTGAGCATAAGAGTTTATTTAGACGAGAAGAAGAAGACGAAGATGCCACACAAATTAAAGAAGCTTCTTTGATGGAGCAAGGTTCGCTTTCTCCAAGTTTCCATGGACACACCACGGCTAAATCACCTAAGAACAGTGTGGTTAAGAGCATCAACATCGTTATTTTATCTAATAAACTCAATATGTTGTTACCTTTCGGTCCTCTAGCAATCTTGGTTCACTACATGATAGATAGTAAGGTAAATTGTTAGTGTTACTAATACTAGTAAGTTTCATTTTGCGTATAAATGTTGAATCTCTCAAGAAATGGTTCTTTGACTGGCTCTCAGGGGTGGGTGTTCTTGCTGAGCTTAATAGGGATTACACCATTGGCTGAACGTTTAGGATATGCCACAGAGTAAGCACTTTGTAGCACACACTTACCGTACCATCATTATGTTTTGGAGACTAATGTTTTTCTTGAAACAGGCAACTGGCTTTTTACACGGGTCCCACTGGTATGACTTGCTTCTTCTGAAACATGCATTTACATTCTTTTTTTCTTTTATGAAATTTTTTGACATGATAGACAATTTTTTACAGTTGGAGGCCTTTTAAATGCTACATTCGGGAATGTGACTGAGCTGATTATATCGATTTTCGCTTTGAAAAATGGAATGATACGTGTTGTTCAGCAGACATTGTTAGGATCCATTTTGTCTAACATGTTGCTTGTACTTGGCTGCGCTTTCTTCTGCGGAGGTCTAGTATTTCACCAGAAAGACCAAGTCTTTGACAAAGTAAGTAATAATCTTTATCCACGCTTTATTGTATTCTCTTAAGTCGTTTTTGTTTATGCTATTCTTTACTTCTGCATCCAGGGAATAGCAGTTGTGAATTCAGGATTGCTTTTGATGGCTGTCATGGGGATACTCTTCCCTGCTGTTCTTTACTACACGCATAGTGAGGTTCACACCGGATCATCAGAGCTGGCCCTGTCAAGGTTCAGCAGTTGCATAATGCTTATAGCATATGCTGCTTACCTCTTTTTCCAGTTAAAGAGCCAGTCTAGTTCTTATAGCCCTCTTGAAGAGGTTTGTTGTGTGCCTCCTTTGTTCAAACATTGGTTTGTGTTAGTTTGTTCGACCTGGACTTACCTTCTTGCTTGATATAATGCTGTAAACTCTAGGAAACAAATCAGAACGAAGAAACATCTGATGAAGATGAAGATCCTGAGATCTCCAAGTGGGAAGCTATCATATGGCTCTCAATCTTGACTGCTTGGGTCTCTCTTCTCTCTGGCTATCTTGTTGATGCCATAGAGGTAATCAACGTTTCTTTTCTGTTGTTAACTTGGTTCTGTCCACTAAGTAATGTAAATATATTTGTTTTCTTCAGGGTGCATCGGTTTCTTGGAACATACCAATAGCATTCATCAGTGTCATTTTGCTTCCAATCGTTGGGAATGCAGCGGAGCATGCAGGCGCAATCATGTTTGCCATGAAAGATAAACTGGTAGGCAGATTACTTCTTGAATCCTAACATCTATAGGCTCTTTATTCTCAGTTTGTTTTGGGACACTTATTTTTGTTACCTCTACAGGATCTGTCATTAGGCGTGGCTATTGGTTCCTCTATCCAGATCTCCATGTTCGTGGTATGTAACATGAATACATTTGCAAAGAGCAAGTTTATTATCATCTTTGGCAAAAAAAAAAGTTAGTTGAATGATCTTTTGTTGTTGGTTTGTATTGTTAGGTCCCGTTTTGTGTGGTGATTGGATGGATGATGGGTGAACAGATGGACCTAAATTTCCAGCTTTTTGAGACGGCGATGCTGTTCATAACCGTTATAGTAGTAGCTTTCTTTCTCCAGGTGGGTTAAGTCACCTTTTAGAATGTCAGGAAAATCCAAAAAATCAATGACTGATGATACTCACTATGTGTGTCATAACAGGAAGGGACATCGAATTACTTCAAAGGATTGATGCTCATTCTTTGTTACTTGATAGTCGCTGCCAGTTTCTTTGTACACGAAGATCCTCATCAAGGTTGGTTGGTTGGTTGGTTCTTTAGTCAATACACAGTTTCATTTTTATGCTGATCTGTTTTGTTTATTTTTTGTTGTTATTGTTTTTGGTTAGATGGTATATAATCACTGTGGAGGAGTCTGGTGTGAATGCAAGATGGGTCTTTAAGTTACAAGCTGATGACCTCATGAACACGAAAGTTTTGGGGGAGAGACGCTAAGATGTAAACCTGATACTAATGTGGTTTCAATAGACTTTTGACGTTTTGAAAGTTCATTCCTTTGGGATCCCCACCCTCCATGAAAATGAATACTCTTAGTCACCTCAGAAGGTTACACGTTTTGTTTATTTGGAATGATATATTACAAGAAGATTTGTTTTGTTTCTCGTGTTCTTGCCGACTCTCTTTCTTTGATTTTTAATGACGACAACAAGCCATCATGTTACGTTTTGTTTGTGTTCTTTTAACACCATTTCTATCTAATATTGGTGTAAGTGTATATAAAACCGAAACCGTAGGTTTTAATTTAAGATCATTCATTACATCTATTGGGCATAAATGAAAAATAGTATTTAATTTAAAGATCATTCATTACATCTATTGGGCGTAAAATGAAAAATATTGTAATATAACAAGTGAAGAGTACAATGATGTAGTTGCCTCCTTGAAGAGTATTATTCTTAATTGTCTTTTTAAACGAAACTGAATTCTCCAACATTAATCAAGCAAAGTACGAGGACGACGAAGATGTATCGGCCAAGACCTGCAAATGTTGGGATAAATTATCATATTATTTTATTACCAAAAACTATAATATTCTCATCAAAACAGAAAAGGACTGTAATATTCAAGGAAAAACGTGAAACCCAAACACATTACCTCAAGCTGTTCTTCAGTGAAGGAGTCTTTCTGGATGTTCCATGTATCTGCATGGGTTCGCCTGAACTCAGCCACTGCTTTAGTCACAGTAGATTTAACAGGTGTCGGTTCACCGGCGAAACGAGCTAGAAGAGTCACGTGATCCGGTAACCAACTGAAATACATTTAAGAAAGTTTCAGAATATTCAGAGAGTATTGTAAGCTCTGCATCACACAATTTAATGTTAAAAAGTGTTTGAACCTGGGCATGTCATAAGGAACAGACAGAACTGAAGCTACCAGACCAAGAACGGCTCCATGCACCTCCGCTATGGACTGAGTTGAACTTGATTTCCTGAAACACGGCCATTTGTTTCTTCGATCATATACTTAAACAAAATCTTGGGAAAGGTATTGCTAATCACAGCTTGCGTTTTTTTTTGCAGTGTATCTTTGGTAACAATAAGTTAAAATGAAAATGCTCAAAAGGGAAGAAAGGAAAACCTTCGGTTTCTTTTCTTGTGAATCGAGTTTGCCTCTGCATAGGATCTATCACGGAAATCTGCAGCAAAATCTTCATCACCTCCTTTCATTAGCCCTGCTAGAACTGCTGCAGCATGTTCTCGTACCTGAAGACCATATTATATCATTTTAATTAGGTGTAAACCCTAAGCGCATAATGTTCCAGATACAACTATTCACAAGACTGAATCTAGAACATGCCTCTACTTGGCTGTCAACAAGGAGCTTTCCCACTGTTTTCCATATCTTCTGTTTCTCCTCATGAGCGAGTATGAAGGTATGCCTAGTAAGAAAGGTCAAAGTAGACATGCTTTGTTAATCAACAGCGCATTTATTTGTAACCTTGCTATATAGATCATATATAACTATATTACCTGTACATAAACGTTCGCAGATATGTCAAGGTTGAAGATCTTATCCGCCAGTTAGAGTCCTCAGCAGAAGATAGGATAACTTCAATGACTTTCTGAAGATGAGATCCGGGGAAAACCCGCCACTTCAACAGCTCAAATGCTGCCTTAGCTAATGTGGACAAATCTTTATGCGATGTTTCCTTCAATAGTTTGAATAATACTACATGATTCCCCAGCCAAAGCAATTTAGAAGAAAGAAAGTCAAACAGATATAACGGTTATACCTGTAAGGATATCACCGGATAGAGGAATCCCGCAATTATATCTCCTAGATATGAAGATCTCCCAGATTTGAAAGACGAGATAATGAAATGGAAGAGCTATAGATAGGATTAAAGAAAAGGAGAGATCATTTCTCAAATAAAAGGAAGAAAGAAGATGAATTTTTTGCTCAAAAAGTTGAGACAGCCAATACCGTTTCCATCCATTTAACATCATCTAGAGAATCGCCATTTGACTGAGCATCCATATCTACATCTGCTGAAGTGTCTAAGCTATCTGATATGCTAGCTTGTTGAATGTTTGTAACAGCTTCAGATGCCCTTGCACTAATCAACTTGAACCAATTTTCCTCCTTAAGTTGACTATCAACATCTGTTCTACCTTCCTCAGATGGATGTTTTTGTTGATATGACATCCGTAGCCGAATGTTGGAGCATAAAACTGAAAGAATTACACCAATAGCTTCCCTTATCTGTTCATAGTCACACAAAAGTAAAAGACTTTTCAGAGCATGAAAACGCGGGGAAGAGATGAATAACTGAATGTGACAAGTCTTACTTGTGCCGAGGAATGGGACATATTACGGATCAATTCATCAAGAAGCGAGATATGCAGCTTCACTTCTGAAACAGGCATCTTTGGTGGAGATAGTTCTATCAATGCAGCGGAAAGAAAAGCATACCGCTTGGAAACAACAGTCGTGGTTGCAGTTGATGGCAATGGTGCCACAATACAGTCCAAAATCAGTTGTCGCATGATAGGAATTTTGGTTCCTTGTTTGCCTTTCCCTGTGACAGCATAACGTATGCAAGCAGCCCACTCCGGTATGGATTCTACTGATTGGCCAAGAATAACATTCTGCAACTGAACCATTATCCAGCTATCCCACTCACTAACAAGACCATTAACATCAGAGTGCAGTAAACCTGCTAATGTTTCAGCAGCAACACACTGTTTTGGCCTCTCCTTGGCGTTACAAAACTCCTCTAGGGGGCTTTTGAGTGCCAGCATTACAGGAACTCCACATTCCTGTGCTAAGCGCTTGAAGATTCGAGCAAAACTTGGGTAGAATATATCACTTCCTAACAAAGATATCCAACTAGGAGTTCTTGGCCATGAAGCCGAAAATTCAAAATAGAAACGAGTGATTGACTTGTCCGCCATGCTCTGGAAGGATGAACTTCCGTGATTACCTCTAGAGGAGGAACTATCAGTGTCAGTGATATGGATATGAGAAAGACTTTCGAAAGTCTCCCTGAAGAATCCTTCCTCTTGGAAAATTTGGCTCAATGCTGAATCAAGGGATGAGTTAGCATTTTCTTGGGAAGACACAGGAGGTTGATCCTTGCCTTTCATCTTATGAGGCGATTCTTTAAGTAGCGTATTTAAAGCTGAAATTGCTAATATTCTCGTCTGAGGAAGTTGACTCTTTAGATTTTTCAAGAAGTGGCCTGGGAATAACAAAACATAACCTTAGTTAAGAAGGAGAAACTCAAATAACATGAAGAGCAAACTTCCCATATATACGACCAATTAAAATCTGTACCAGCAGTTTCATTAAGGATTTTGAAGGAAAAAGTTGGGTCAATCCTAGAGGACATAGTTAACAGAAGGAGCACTCTGTTAGCCATCAAGTTGTACCTGACATAAGAAAAGAAAAAGCATAAATGATTTCATATCTTCAAAATTATGAATCTAAGAAATGGGAGCTCAAAGTTTAACTAGGTATATGAAAAATGATTTCAGTGACAAGTTGATCAATGGTAGGGTAGAATTACCGCCAATGCAAGCTAGAAGAATCAAAACTCATGGAGCTGATCTGAGAAACGAGATCTCCAGTAGACCCTTCAACATGGCTATCCAATGAGCGAAGTATGTTTCTAGACAGTCCCGCAAAGTGAATGTTATATTTGACAAAAAGCTGCAAGCATATAAACGTCAGACAAAAACTCCAAAAAAGAAAACGGTCTCTACCCTAGTAACAAGGAGTGAACCTTTACCTCAATAATTGCTTTTTGGGATTTCATAGATTCGTGATGAGAACTACAAAAGATCAAAAATAAATCTTAACACCAACTTTACAAGCGTATTTGTCCTTGCCAAGAGATATAACTATAAGTAACTGATCTAGGAAATGTAAAAAGATTACCTTGAAAGGATCCCAAGAAGAAAAGAGGAAAATGATTTTGGATCCTGGAGTAGCAGAACAAACACAAGATTTTACCACTGAAAATAGAGCAACAACAGCTAACACTAAATGCCTACCGTTGTCAAATGCTTGAGAACACTCTGCGAAGAGAGAATGCCACAAGAACCAAGGACTACATACTCGGGTGCATCCTGATTTCGCAAGTTCTCACTAAGGGACAGCACACACTTCGAAAGCAATGGCGGCCATCTCTTTAAGAGCTTCAGCAAAGATTTTCCAGCAAGCCTGAATACCACAATACAGCAAAGCCTAGTCAATTACTGCATTGAAGAAAGGTCCTCGTGGAAAATTTATAGACGAATCCTTTCCATACTTAAGGCCTATAATACACATGCATATTTGGACCACAGACGGTCACAAAAATACTCACACTCGAACAGTCTCATAATTGTGCAGGCAGAGGGTCAAAAGATCATCAACCAAAAGAGCCAAGGATTCTGGTGGAGAGAAGTTCCCATCTGTACGAAACAGATGATAGGAAGACTGTGATGATCTCCATGTGTTGTGCATGTACGCCTTGTCAACGAGCGCCCATCTAGGCCTGAGAGACAAGAAGATTTGCATGAAATTAAAAGCAAGATGTGTAGGTTTTCAATTAAGACAAAGGGAGAATTACCTTCTCTTGCCCTTAGAATGAAACTCAGTAATAAAGTTCGCTGGAGGCTCCACAATAGCAGCAGATTCCAGTTTCCAAGCCTGCCTGTGATTATACCATTCATCATACTCCAAACTGCCTGTAAACATTCAAAGTAAAGTGTTATCAAGAGAAAAAACATGTAGCTGGTCACTGCAAAGGGAGCACGCCAGAGGCTTTCTGCAATACCATAGTTTCCCAGAGCATCCATTATGCGGATTATTAATATCAGCAAGATGCTGTCATCTGACTTTTTCTCTAATAAGTATCTGCAAACATCACAACAATATTTTCAGCTGTACGCATATGCTTTTTGGAGAGAAGCAAGCAAACAGCTACCGAACAAACATTACTTGCAGGCTTCATGAATGGTCTTAGCCGTTCTTTCTCGCATTTCAGCACTGCCAACAGAGGGACCTGATGCTCCAGCTATAAAGAACGGCAGCTCCTGAACCTTATCATGTCTAGGTGATGGCCTGAAATCAGGGAGGCAAGACAAAACACCTTGCAGTGTTGAATCTATGCGCAAAAGAGTCACTTTTAGGTGCGTTTTTTCATCTCCTGCACCACAAACAGCACAATGAAACACACGTATAAAATTTTGGGGAAAACAAGTACAACACACAGTCTGCGTTAATACTAAAAATGCAATTTATAAATGTCAACAGTTAACTCTAACATGAAAC